AGACGTGACAGGAGCGGAGCAATTTCAAACGTTCTTATTGACAAGGCAGACTTGATATATCAAATAGGACGCAGTGGAGGGCAGAAAAAATATGAGTGTTCTGACGAAGGCGTACTGGGAGCCACTTGAGTTTAGTGCGGTATTCCAGGATATAAACCGTATGTAGAGATTTTGAGGTCGCTAAAGTTTGTTAAGTTGATCTTCGGTGGTACCAAGGTAATAAGTGTCAACATAGTCCAGCATAGTGAGTAGTAAAGATTGTGCAAGCGTAAATAAATCGACATTTATTATGTTTAGTTGTGAATTTTTACTACTTTCACATTAATGATGGATTTTCAGAAAATGTATTTTAATAAGATACATAAAATAGTTTAAAACGAAAATATATTTTATGGAATTATTAACTACGTGGTAGAAGACCTCCATTTTCTAGCTTTTTCTGTCTAGGCGTTTGTCTTTGCGGGTACCCTCCCATTTACAGCCGTAAAGATTATATATATATTGTAAATTTATCTACAAAATAAAGATAAGGCAAATAATTAAAATTAGAATTAGAGCCCTACCTTTGGTTGTTATTAAAGAATATCCCATAGTTGTTTCAAGTTCCACATTCAGATTCATAACGTCAAAAAATATAATATACTTAAACCATTTACAGCAGTAATAATCATTTATCTAAAATAAATACTGTCACTGTTCAGCTTTACTCGTAGACTGTTTATTGGAAGGTTAGTCATAACATGATATTTTGTACCATAATATGTATTATTATCAATCATAAACTCTTTCCACTTTAAAACTCTGTCGTTATCGTTTATATCTCCGGTTAAAACGGATCTTTCTTCTTTAAACAATACAATTACCTCCACTTACATAATATAACAACAAAATCCAGCTACGCGTTAAAGCCATTTTCAATATTTAACTTTTAGAGAAATAGACGCAAAAACTAAATTTTGTTTGGAACTAAAACTATACTAACAACTTCTCTGAATATCGCTTTGCACGCTGTGAACTCTGCAATTGACGCAAATCAAAACATTGTGAAATTACAAATAGTGTTTCGAAATTTATCATTTATTTTAAAGTTTGTGCAGCGCAAGAAATAGGAATAAAATCTTTCTTTCCTTTCTTCTAAAAGCTTTAATTTATTTTATAAAATAAGGTTGACAAACGAGCACAAAGTCCACCTGAAGATAAGTGGATATTGTGACCTACAGACATCCACATTTATCCTTCATTAAGAATCAAAATGCAAATGCGTTCTCACCCATAAGGACTAAGATGGAATGCCTCGTTTCCAGTGAAAAGGGTCTCCAGTTCTCTACAGTCACCATACCAGACAAAGTGGCATTAAGCTATTGGCCCTACTCCGGTCAAGCTGACCAATTCGTGCTACAACCATAATATAACTGCAGCATGGCTCTACAACGTAAAAATATTGATAAAGTTAAGTTAATAAGATTATGTTGTCAAGTTTAAACACACAATATATTGCTTTCTATAAGTAAAATAGTAATATTATTAATGTTACTAGTGATCCTATTAATAACTTTAACTAAACTATAAGTATTTTTAGGTTTTTTCCTTTTGTCAGCACATAGGAGAAATTTAGGATAGTAGCCGAATGACGCGTTAAATAACAAGGCTACAGTTTTGCGCCAATTCTCTAAACTTTCGTAAAAAAATTGAAAATAATGAAATGAAAATGAACATGAAAAATTAAAATACTTTATTTAACAGTTAGCACCTTTACAAATAATTTAGCAGTGGTTCTCACACACCTGGTAGACCTGTATCGTGAGAGCCATATACACATACAAAAAACGGAAATTTGTGCACGGCTGACTTTACAAAGCTTTCCCTTTAAACATCTACTTCAATTTATTTATGGTCTATAAATATAAACATATACTTAAACATATATACACAAATTAAATATATTATATATACACATCCATATACACTCAAACATACATACATACATCCATATATATATATATATATATATATATATATATATATATATACACACATCACATATACATACATACACACGCATAGTTATTATAATTTGTTAATATTACTGTATTTTGAATTTGCAATTACTGCTATAATATGTGTGTGTGCTCACTGTATTTATGTGAGCTTAATATTTTTCTATGATCACATGTAGCCGTACATAAAACAAATAGCTGCCGAACTATAAGTACTTTAATATCTTTGTACAGTTTAACTGTTGGATACCTGTATTTCTTGTAAAGCATAACTTTCAGGACCGAACGTTGAGCTCTCTCAATTCTTATCATGACTGTTTTGGAAGCGCTTCCCCAGCAAAAAATACAATACGTTAGCAGAGACTGACATAGGGCATAATAGATGGACATTAATGTGCTCAGAGGTGCAGAGTTTCTCAGCCGTCTCATGATGTAAACTATGTTACGAATTCTTACTGCCAATGCCGATATATGTGCCTTGAAGTTAAGGTTGTGATCAATTAATATACCTAGGTATTTAATGTTCCACTTTCCGAATTTTATCACAACTACACAAATTATTTTCAGTCGTGCAAAGATGCAATCTTATGTGTTTGTTAGTAGGTGGTGTTGACGAACGGGTCTTATGAAAGCAAATTTTTTAGCAATTAGTTTTCTCGACATTAAGAGTTAACAGGTTTGAGTTTAACCAATGAGAAACCTGAGAAACCCCACGTTCCTCTACAGAAATGGTATCATCCTATCTTTTTCTACTGTATAAAAGGACCGTATCATCAGCATAACATATTATTTCTGAATGTTTTGAGTTGAACTGATGTATGTCGTTCATGTATATGATGAAGAGAGTAGGACCGAGAATACTTCCCTGAGGTACACCATAGTTAACATGCTGCATTTCACTTATATAAGTGCCCACTCTCACGCACTGTTTCCGTTTCTACAAATAGCTTTTAAACCAATCTAAAACTAATCCTCTGATTCCTACGTTTTCAAGCTTTTGACATAGTAAAGGAACGGAAACAGTATCGAAAGCCTTGGCTAAGTCCAGGAATACGCCAATACAGCATTCGTTTTTGTCAAGGCGAGAAGATATATGTGAAACTAAGGTGGTTATAGCGTCCTCGGTACATTTTCTTTTCCTAAATCCAAACTGTCTTGAAGAGAGCAGATTAAATGCTTCTAAGTAATGCATTAGTCTTTTACTTACCAATTTCTCAAGAAGTTTGGAAAAAACACTTAGCAGAGAAAAGGGTCGATAATTATCTGGAGAGTTTTTTAGGCCTTTTTTATATACAGGATACACCAATGCAGTCTTCCAAACTTCTGGAAATACACCGGTAGAAATACTCAAGTTGTATATTACTGTAATTGGCTCAGTGACAAATTTCTTAATATGCTTAATCAGTGTATCCATCAATTCCTGGCGCTTTTTTTGTCATTTTTAAGATTTGTTATTAGGTTTTCTATTTCGTAAGCGTCAGTTGGTTGCATATAAAACGAGTGTGTTGTATTTCTAATTTTACAATTTTGCACTAGACTTTCTACAGTATTATTGCTTTAAATTAGAATTTTGTATGCTAAATTTTGTCCAACTGTGGAAAATTAAGTATTACAAATATCCAACAATAACAAATATATGATCAATGCATGATTCAAATTTTGTAGGTTTAGAAATAGTAGGAAATAGTCCGTATTCTGCCGCAAGACAGACATAACTTACATTATCATTGTCCCCTTTTAAAATATTAATATTAATATCTCCTGTCAATACTAAATGAGGTTTATTTTTGTAGTGATCCAAATGGGATTCTAGATCTATTAAGAAACTTTCCGTGCTTCTAAATGAAGGTGAGCGATATATACAGAAAATGGTTATTGTATCGGGTATTTCTATTATTAAACAGTCTGCTTCGTTAAAGACTGGCTCTGTAACATTTGAGTTCCATACGTCTTTAATGTACACTACTACACTACTATTTTGATTGATTATTTTATGAGTTCTGTACGAGATGTATCCTGGAAGTACCGGGATAATAGAAGATTCTGCAATACTTAAAATAATTACATCCAAGTCAAATGCCATACGTTTTAATGCAATTGTGAAGTACGTAAAGTTTTTTGATATGATCCTGATATTAAAATCCAGTATTTTAAATGTATAATCATTAGTTATTATTGAAGCACATTGTTCAAGTTGGCTAATGTCATGATAGGTTATATTTATTGTATCTAGATTATTTTGTAAATTATCTAGCATTTACTTAAGTTCACTTAATAATAAATATAAAAAATAAATAAATAGGTATATAAAAGTAGATTATTAGTGCCATGACAAAATATTTAGTGAAACTAAAAATTTTAAAATGTGCAAAGACAAAATTTGAAGTTTTGAGTGTACATGAAATTAAATAAACATAACTTATTATCAAAATATACGGCCAAAAATAGGAGCATACATTTATGTAGGTATATTGACAGTAAACACTGACTTTGATATAATTAGGATCACTATTGTGATAGTATTTATGCCCAAAAATATATATGGATAAATAATAAATATCTATATAAAAAATATATGAAAATGAGAAAAAGCGCACCAGGTCCATAAACTTTTTAAATTTGTACATTATCAGTGTTTCTAGGTTGCGAAGTGGCAGTACCATTTGAGAAAATATGAAACATATCATCGTGAGACTTAATATGCTGTGCTGGTTTTCCCCCTCTACGACGTACGTAAATGTTACCGCGATTTGTCCAGCAGTAACTAAAGCCACATTCTTTAGACATCTTCCGTGCCTCTCGAAATAACTGCCGATTTTCACTAGTAAATCGTTCGTTAAAATATATTTTGTAAGACGGTCCCTTAACATTTAAATCAATGCTAGTTATGTAGCGTCTCTGCCTAGAGGCTTTAATAATCTCGTCTCTTTTTGATCGACGCAAAAGACGAACGACGACAGGTCGTGAGATTTTGTTTTCAGAGTCGTGGTCTGATTGTTTTACCTAAAATGCACGTTGCGGTCCAACATGCGCCACCCAATCAATATCTAGATCAGCCAAATCTATTCTAATCTTGCGGGATGCTACCAAGACAGTGTAAGTTAGATTTTCATTTTTGTTTTCTGGGATGCCAATTATTTCCAATTCGTTTGATAATTGTTTCTGAGCCATCATATTAAGATTTTTTTGAAAATGACTCACTGCATCGTTTAGGGGATGGATCTCAGCCTGTTTTTGTTCAACAGAAGCTAGGTGAGTGTTCGTTGAGGCCATGGTGTTACCGAGTTCATCTAAACGCTCGTGACAGCGAGTTAATGATGTCATTGCTTCATCGAGTTTACACTTCAGCGATGAGATTTCGTGAGTTAATAGCTTAATTTCGGTTGTCAACTCACTGATTTCTAAGTTAGACGGCTCAGTCTAAGTTTTTGGGTTCAATTCATCACCTGCCATTCACAAAATGTCACGCAGGAAGTACGTACTGGCGTTGAGCTGTTGTCACCAGTCCTTTTTTCTTGTGCGAAACAAGCGGGTCATGTCCAAGATTGCATATTTACTGCAGTACTTGGTAAATTTGTACATAATATACAATATATTTTGTCACATTCCGATTTACTGCACCGAAAATAAGTTTTGCTTTTTATATCATTTAAGCACCCTTCGCACCGCATTATGGTACTATGCACAAAGCGTCCTCTCAGAGACAGTTACGTACAAGACAAACAAGTATTCGCTTCTGTATTGCTTACTCTAGATAGCAGATCGAGCAACGTAAGGAGTGACTCACCGTGCCGTCCGCACGCAGAGATAGTTCTTATGCGTTGCACTTAACCGCTATGGTTCCCTGCAGTAACTTGTCGCCGACAGGCCACTCTTGCGGCGCGTGATCTTGTTTGTTTATAATACTTTTGTAATGATCTTCTATGTTTCACACTTTTTAATGATAAATATATCTTAATTTCTTCATTTTTATAAAACTATAAATACTGTATGATTTTAAAGTGACAAAAGATTCAAATTAATTATAAAAACAATATATTTAACGAGGAGTTTTAACAATAACAAAGTAAGCAGTCAGCCGATTTGGCAAAGAATCAAATAATGATTATAACAAAACAAATCAGGTACAATGTAGTTTTTCCTTACGTTTTAAGTAGGGAGATCCCCGAGAACCGGACACTTAAGGAACAATAAAAATAAAAAAGAACGTATAATAGTCTCATTTGCTTATTTCACTTTAATAAGTTCACAACTATATACTTAATCAACACAGATATATCAACAGCCTCAAATCTTACTTTAAATGTAGTAGGTACTAAGGAACATTTAACATAGAAAAAAGGATGTTTTTAAAAAGGTCCCCTAATGACGGACAGCCAACTTTTCGTTCATTTTTAAACCTAAACATTATTTTAACAAACAATTCGTAAGAATATCTATTAAAATTGATCAAATCAGCTGTTTATAAAGAAAACTATTCTTAATTGTAATTAACTTTCATCATAATTAGGAACGGTTTCTATAAAATTACAAAACTTTAATTGTACAACTTGCAAAAATCACAAATGTAGCTAACTGAGCTTTTTTTCAATATTTCATGTTTGGGGGTATTCCCACAACTCGGTTTGGGTTTATCCATGTTGAATCTGAACAACAAAACACAAAAATTAACTTACTGTAAAACTGTCCAGTATTAGGGGACTTTGAGAGTGTCCGAACTTAGGATCCCTTAAGTACATACAAGAAAAATTCTCATTCACATTATGTGTTATGAATCTTAAAAAAAACACTTGGGTTATATCAGATTAGTACAATAGCAATAATAATTAATAACAATGATTATCATCCCATACTTTAAATACTGTTTACAGAACCCAAAAAATTACTTCGAACAAAATTTTTACTAACCTTAAAAATTGCTACACGCTCCACGCCGAACGAGTCAGCACTAACTATTGATACGCTCCCCCCACACTTCACTTAGAAAACGCTTTCTAACCACGACTACGTAGTACTATTATTTATTCTGTGCCACGATTCAAGCAACAAATTGGCGCGCTTTTTCGCACTGATTCAAATTCTGTCCGACTTTAGGAGCCGTCCGGGCTTAGGGGACTTCCCCCTATACTTTATTTACCTGGTAAGCTACGCATAAAGAAAGCAAAATATATTGAACGGAGATATTGATAAAGCACTAATTGTCCGGGTGTAGATTACGTAAGACCTCTGGCAAGAAAATGTAAATTTATTCCGCGTAATTTTTCTCACAGTTTTTGTGCTTAATGTCACCCTACGAACTTCTTGGAGCTTCGTTCTTACTTCCGAAGAAGCGATCCGGTCCATTTCTAAGCACGCTGGTAACGATAAACCGGTCATCTATAGCCACATTTCTTCATTTACGTCCCTATTCTACGAGTCTCGTATAGTGTCCGGTGCCGATACCTCTTGATAATTCGATGTACCACATATTCTGCTACTCGTTATTGTTGGGCCATATGTTTGTGAGTGTACTAGTTTCAATTAAAGTAACATTTCTAGCAACTTGAGTGGCATTTAGATCTGGCATTTTAAGTTTATTTGCAGCAATAATTTACACTTAACACGATAAACAAACTAGTCATAGTAAAAATTTAAACAAAGCTTAAATTTAAACGCAAATTTAAAAACTTGCTCAATTCTTCGCAGTATGTAAAAACGCAATGGGTGCATTTGGCAGAAAAAAGCGCTAGCAAGCGCTTGTAAGCAAAATGGCGAAACTAAACAGTTTTCGGCCAGGACACGTTTGCTAACTACAGTAGCGCTGACACAATCCGCCATTTTGCTTATTTAATTAGTTTGTTGTGAAGTAGAGTTTATAAGTTGTTTTGTGCAATATTAGTTTTAAGTAATATAATGACATGAATAGACATATACATGTTATTAAAAACTCATGATTGGTAAGTTTTTAATATGAATACTTTACAAACATATATTTAAATTAGGTTAGGTTCCCCGGTTTAAACTAACTTCGTGTCCTAGAGGAAAATAGCTACTTACGATTTGACAGCGCTTACCGCTTACGATCGCCATTTTGCTTGCAAGCGCTTTTTTCTGCCAAACGCACCCACTAATTGTATACAAACAAGTGAAATCCGAAAAAAGCATTCCACAACTTTCTTTTTTTTAACAGCATTTACTAATGTTTGTGGCCAGTACGCACGATACTTACAATAAATCCCTTTTTGCGTTCCTCTAAACTCCATGAATTCTTATTAAAATAAAAAAATACGCTAAAGCCCGTTCTCATTGTTACGAATGTTAGTCAATATAATACTGAGTTTGTATTATTGAAAACTAACTTATTAATTTTCTTTTGAATTTTTATATTTGTTTATATTGTCGTGTGGTGTCCACAACCTCTGTTTCATGAAACCTGGTTCATGAAAGATGGCAGTATAACCATCTCGTTTACGTCAGACGTAATTCCCAGACCGGCGACCACGACCGGCAGCATCGTCAAAACTTGGTGTGATCTTCAATCTGCCTGCTAAGCGTGACGATTGAGATATTTCTTTCTTATAACGATAAGGACCCATGTCCAACAGTGGGCTCTTAAGAGCTGACAGTGAAGAAGAAAAATTTGAAGTATTTTATTTTTCTAATTCTTACTCCAACAATTTGTACTTTGTGATCTACGTTATTTTTGACGATGTAATCCTCCAACATCCGACGAATTCTATAATTTTTTACTCTATCAACGAACAAAAAAGATATCGATTTTTAATTTTAACCAGTTGCAGTTGTTCACACGACGCAAATACTTTTTATTGATATAAAATGTTTGTGTGAATTTTAGTTTTGTTGAAGAGCACCATATTGGTATTTATTTTAAATTACCTTGACTTAAATCGATGTGAATGCTCTTCCTTAGGCCGTGTGTCAACGTACGATACTGCGATAACATGATTCCAAGTCATTTGCTTTCTTCATTCTGCTGATGCTTACTTTAATAAATGATAATGTTAGATACATTATCATTATATTTAAATAATACTAGTTTTTACGGGTTTTATCGCGTATATTAACTTTTTTTATATTCCCGACGTTTTGAGCACTTTACAGCACCCATGGTCACGGGAGAGGGGGGGGGGCCGAGATATTCAACGTCCAGATGTTTTAGTTAGCCGCGATTACTCACAGATTAAAATTATTATATTTTGTTTCGATCTACACAGCATGAACTTATAGTATCTTGAAGTCTCACAGTTGTATGCTTGGGTTGGGATTGCATGTTATTAATTATAGAATCCCAAGCAGATGGAAGTACCCAGCCCCAATGCCACGGTATGGGTGGTCATACGTCAGATAATAATTCCAAAATACAAGAACTTTTGTCGGATGTAAGCACTTATAAAAAGTAAAAAATAAAAATATAAATTTCTTCGCAATCTTCCGCTAAATAAATACAATGATGTGTTTTACCTGGATTGAAGAGAAGAAGAAGAGCACCTCCCGCCCTCCCTCAATGCATGCACTAACTTATTGAGGGAGGGCGGGAGGTGCTCTTCTTCTTCTTCTTCTTCTGCAAAGAAATTTATATTTTTATTTTTTATTATAATGGATTTCCGCAATGTAACGCCTGATTCTATCAATTAACTTATAAAAAGGTTTAAAACGACCCAACAAATAGCACACTTAAAATAAATCATCATTATCATCATCATCATTACAGCCCTTCACAAGTCCACTGCTGAACATAGGCTTCCCCTAAGGTATGCCACAAAGCACGGTCCTGAGCCACCTGCATCCATCGACTTCCTGCATGTCTTACCAGGTCGTCACTCCATTTAGTGGGGGATCGCCCTACACTTCGCCTACCGGTAGGAGGCTGCCACTTTTTTCCCAACGGTTGTCGGTTCTTCGAGCTATAATTATGGCCGGCCCATTTACACTTCAGCTTACTAATCCGTTCGGCAATGTGTCGGTCACTCTGGTTCTACTGCGGATATCCTCATTTCTAAGTTTATCCCGCAGAGAAACTCCGAGCCCTCTCCATAGCTCGCTGAGTGATTTTGAGCGTCCTCATATGGCCAACAGTGAAGGACCACGTCTCGGTTCCGTAGGTCAAACAACTAGTACACAACTAGTAGGTTAAAACAACCAGTGACTTCATAAAGAAATTATCTATTATGATTATGGGGGGTATCTATATAGTTTTCTCATCTGGTTGGGTTCTATAAATATATAATTATAAATGAAAATGAAAAGATAAATATACATTAATATCAATAAAATAAAATAAATACAATTTTTTTTTATAGAAGAAGGGGCAAACGAGCATGTGG